ACTCTGTGCCTAAGTTTCTTTCATTTTTAAAATGAGGTTGTTGGATTTGGATGACTTCTTAAAGTCCTGTCCGGAGCCAAGTCTATGATTATATAATTTCCGTGATGGTCTTTGTAAAGGCCCATCATAAGCACTAAATGTAAGATGACCAAGTATTCCCCAAAATTATATTTTTTTGTTACTATTGGATACAAAATGGAACCATTTGTGAGTCATATCTAGATTTAGCTTCAACTCCTTTTTTTGTTTTCTGGTTACACTTAAGAATGTCAAAATTGATATGATTCAGTTCCTTCAGCTGTATATGAACTTGCTGGTCAATGGACCACATTTAGAGTATCAATAGTTAATATCAACAGACTAAAAACTGATAGTTGGAACTCTGTACTGCTTTCTACTTTTCTACCATTGTCACTATAGAAGCAGAAGGAAGCTACACAAGACTGAATCACTTTGCATTTTGTTCATTTTGGGAGATCCCACTGCAGCATGCCCTCTGGCTACTCTTTCCTCACCCCCTCAACTTACTTTCATAGGCTGGATCCCATAAGGGGTTATTAACTTAGTCAAGTTACTCTAAGAGGTCCACACTCCAAAAACTAGAGCTCACAAGTCCCCACTGGTGCCTTCATCAGTAGTCCACTAGAGAACATAAATATCTTAAAAGAAAGGCATTTACTAAAATGGCTGGGGCACATTATCCTACAAAGATGGCATTAGTAAAAGTACACAGACACACAGAGTGTGCGATATGCATATGCTTAGGAAATATCATGCTCCCGTGCTATAAGGCCTCATATGCTTTCTCTTCTTGATATCCTCACCTCTGACGGAGAGGTTCTCTGCTCCTGCTCCTCTCTGCAGTTCAGATGGCCAGGATTAACTCTCTCAACTCACAAAGCTCTTCAAGTCTCATGCCCTAACTGGCTCCCAAGTGTCTTTAGTAATACCTTACTTCCTTCACCTACCCCTTAAATTCTGTAATTTCATCAACAGGGTTATTGGGGAATATCACTCAATCAGGGTTATCTTAATCAACTTTCTTCTCCCACAATTATCAATTTACTGCCCAGTCTACCAGTGATGAGGCTCTCTGTACTCTGAAGGACTAGTTTTCAGAAAGTAGTCTGTCACTTAAATTCTACTTGAAACATTTGCAATATAGTAGATCCTGCCAGAGCTTATAATCTATTAGCAAAGTCTTGAAGAATCTAGGGTACTTTCCACCCAAAGATGAGGCATCAGAGTAGGACTTTTACGGAGAGCACTGTCATGGTAGGTATTTAATAAAGGCTTCTTTTTATTTAAATGTGACATATCACAAGGAATTGATATTTCCTGACATTTCCTTCATGCTTCTGAGAGTGTGTAACTCAGTTATAAATAAATGATTCATTCTATATTAGGCTTGGAGTTGGGGCAACAAATATTCCTTAGTCATGCATTAACCTTATTTTGTTTAATTCCATCTTCTGATCCTCATTTTACGAATGAGGGAACTGAGGCTGTAATGCAGAGTGATATGCCATGTGCTTCTAGAAAAGAGTAAGATGCAATAAAAAAGTAAGGTTAATGCATGACTAAGGAATGTGAGCAAAGAGTCTTAGAAATCTTATGTAAAAAAATTATGAAATAATTATTTACATAAAAAATTATGTAAATGTAAATCACTATGAAATGACTTCTGGAATGCTTTATATTGACTAGCTCATTATATCCTCACAACATCCCTGTAGGGTAGGTAATACTAATATTACCATCTTACTTTTAGGGATGACAAAATGGAATTTCAGGAAGGTTAAATGTCTAAAGTCACTAAGTAACAACCAATACTTAAACCCAAGTTGCCTTACTCCAAGTTCCATACTCTTTCCACTAAAGTACTATGGACCCAGGCAATGGTGGTGAGAAGCAAACCTTAAACAGGCTGACATCCAAAAGAAGAAATTCTGGATAGCTCACCAAAAAACAAACTTGTACCAAGTAAGAGGAAAAAGACAAAAACCAAGAAATAAAATTTAATGGAGGACCAGAAAAAAGGCTAAAAACCAGTATTTTGACCTAGGAGTTAGAGTGGAGTATTTGAGATTTGCAATGGCCTGTGGCTAAAAGCATTACAACTGTAACTTGTGTTTGTAAAATACCTTAGTACCTCCAAACTCATTTGTGTTTGCATTAAAGTGCTGTTGTGTACCTAAAATCATAGAAAGAACTTTAAATGTCAACCTCTCCAATGTCATGCCAAGATTTTATTTAAACACTTGAAGATTAACCCTAGCTATATGGAGTTTCCTTCCAAAGAATAACTTTTCTTTTGTCACTCAGCCTGTCCTCATTTAGGATGGCCTCGAGCCCTTCGTCCAATATTTGAATGTCTTATATAATTCATAGGCTATGTAATGCATAGTCAAGATCTCTCCACAGCCCTCTATACAAGCCTCTAGGGCCAGACAATTTGCAGTGGCCTGGCCCAACAAAGCTGCAGGAAAACAAGTAAAATCTCAGCTGGGTATTGTAGGAAAAATCTAAAAATATATTACTGAGCAATATGAGAGGACTCTGCTAAGAACAGAGGGAATACCACAGAGCATAGTACTAAATAAAGCTCTCAAATCAGCGTCTGTGGGATAGTGTTCCCATCAAGTCCATGACTACCACAACCCAGGCAGGAGGACCATTTCCAGCCCTCGCTCAATGAACCATCTGTCACCTGCTCCCAAGACCAGAAGAAAAACTCCAGTTGGCAACTGAATAGACTCCAGGGAAGTGGAGTACCCTCATTACACCCATTTTTATCTTTATTACTCTAACCAGCAGCCTTTTTCCTTGTCTTCAACAGAAATGTTAATAGCTAAAATAGCTTTATATAAAATCCCCAGAGGAACATCCATTCATTTACGTTGTGCTTATTATGTAATATCCAGCAATACATGCCCAACCATGTGCAAAAGTTGCCATTGCTAATTATATCATGCATTCATCTCTGGCTCCAGCCTGGTTCAGGGCATTAGACATGAGATACACAGCCACTTCATTCCAGGATTATTGGTATGACTCCAGCCTGTAAGTGACAAAGTCATTACCATATGATGCTGGCTTACAACTGTGTGAGAAGAGTTACACACTTCAGTTTAGCTTCAAATAAGCACATGTCCATAAATCATAGAAAGTCTCACCACCTTGGATTTTTAGAAGATTAAGAGGATTAATTATACTTTTATCCTGAGACTTGATCCCTTATCCCAAGTCCTAAAACTGCCAAATTAAAGTTAACTATTCATCTGGTGTCAGATTAAACCCTTTGTTAACAGTCTAAAGGATTATCTACTTTCAGATTTGGGGCATGTGGCCTTTTTAGAGAATCAGAACTAAGAAATAATTTGCAGATAGGAAGCATCCTTTCTGAATGACCACTTAGTTTGGGGTTCCCAGTACGGACATGCTGGCCCAGCTCAACCAGAACTGTCTTTCCTGAGTGACACTCTATACTTCAGGTCTAAGCGGCCTCTCCCACTACCAACGCCTCCAAAATCATTTTTTAAATTGCCTATTTTATGACTCATTTTCCTGGGCCCTAAGGAAAGGATATTCATGTTGTGCTAATGAGTGATAATTCTTTCACCCTCCCAAGTAACAAATTTGCCATAACACAAATGAGTGACTAAAGTAAGAATTTCAGGCATTTTGTTGTAGGAGGTATTTTTGGTAACGGTGTAAAATAGCAGAACTGTCCCTAGGATACAGAAAATTGCAGTGATCACCCCAGTGCCAAAACTTTGGTTTTTTTGTTGTTCTTGTTTTAAACTGCTGAGAGAACTCAATAATGCTGAGAGAACTAAATGACTGAAACCACAAAACAGTAACTCAGGGAAACAATACTGGACTATGATTGAAGAGTCTTGAGTTCCGGTCCTGGTTCCACTAGGAGAGTGGGTGAACTTAAATAAATCACTTAACCTTTTACATCAATTTCTTTATCTGAAAAATAGATATTTTAACATCTAACAGCTTAGCTGGGTGTTTAAAAGGATCAAATAAAATGTGTGTGAAAACACTGAAAATTATAAAGTGCTCTACAAACATAAAGTGTTAATATTATCACTTCCCATATCACAGATTTTAAGGACCTAATAAGTTTTATATAGAAAGGATATGGGAAAATATAAAACACTATGTAAACTATTAGCTTATTATTTTTGATAGGTGAGACTTGTGATACTGTAAATCCCCCTAAACCCTGCATCTAGAATATATGTTCAGACACTGTGGAGAGGAACTAATAATAAAAACCATCAGTCCCTGCCCTTAAGATAATTATGTTCTATAATCAGCAAGGACATAACAACAAAATGAAATATGTATCTGTGTAAAACACAAACAGTCAGAGATATAGATATAAAGCAAGAGAAACCAAATGAATCCAATAATTAATTACTAAATTACTAGCTAATCAAATAACCAAATGTATTGAGCATAATTAGTTATGCTTAAGAGTGTCTGGAATGATATAGTTCCTTAGAATTCACTAAATACAGTACATTTATGCTCTCCTCCGTCTGGCTGGAATAGCTAAGCCCGCTCAAATTCTCATCAACCATTAAAGCTCAAGTCCTGCCTTCCTTCACGGAAGCCTTCCGGTACCACAGTGTGTCTACTACAACGATCTCTCATTTTTCAGAACTTGTACAGAACTTCTAACTTATGTCCTATAAGTTAGTGTACTTCGACATAATATTCTCTAGTAGTTTCTCCAGTTGTATACCTTGTTCTATTCTCAAGATTATAGACTCTCTGCAGGAAGGAACCCCGCACAGGAAGGCCACTTGCACTTATAGATTCTTTGTATCCTCCCATCACATTTAGTTAGACAACTCTTGGTTTTCATTTTTGTTGAATCAATTTATTTAAGAGAAAAGATGATAGCTACCATAATATTTAACTAGCGGATGAAATAAAGGATACCAAACTTCTGAACTGTTAAGCACATCAGCACAGAAAACTGACAACCAAGATAACAGTTTATTTTCAGTTAAAAGAAATAGTATTTAGATATAAAAAGGCAATACATATGGGAATTTATTTTATATAAATAAGGATACTATTATTTCATGCAAAGAAACACCGGAATAAGGGATTAGGGAAGGCAGACAGAAAATACACTCAAAAATTTCAAGTCCTTTTTCATTCACTTTGTTTTTTAGGTAAATCGACGCTTACTTTGATCTGGTAACAATTCCATCATGTCCACCTTCTTTGTCAGCTCAGCATCCACAGAATTCTAAAGGAAGAAAGTATTTCAGTACATAGGATTCCTGAATATTTGTTTTAATTTCCTATCTTTACTCCTCTCTAATTATTTTAAACCAAAGGAGGTTAAGGAAAAAATACATTAAGTTCTGGTATCCCAAATAACATGAATTTTTTCAGACATTTACTGATTTATCCACCCCTCAAAAGCTTTAGAATGTATATAGGATGTTAGATAGTTAACAATTATTGATCAGAGAAATGCAAATCAAAATAACTCTGAGGTACCACATCACACCTATCAGATTGGCCAACATGACAAAACAGGTAAATGATAAATGTTGGAGAAGACATGGGGAAATTGGAACACTAATCCACTGCTGATGGAGTTGTGAAATGATGCAACCATTCTGGACAGCAATTTGGAACTGTGCCCAAAGGACTATAAAAATGTACATACCCTTTGATCCAGCAATAGCACTTCTAGGGCTGTATCCCAAACAGATCATACAAATGGGAAAAGGACCCACATGTACAAAAATATTTATAGCAGCTCTTTTTGTGGTGGCAAAGAATTGGAAACTGAGAGAATGCCCATCAATTGAGGAACAGCTAAACAAGTTGTGGTATATGAACATAATGGAATACTATTGTGCTATAAGAAATAATGAGCGGGGCAGTTAGGTGGCGCAGTGGATAGAGCACCGGCCCTGAAGTCAGGAAGACTTGAGTTCAAATCCGGCTTCAGATCAAACACTTGACACTAACTAGCTGTGTGACCCTGGGCAAATCATTTAATCCCAACTGCCCCCCCCCCCCCAAAAATAATGAGCAGGCGGACTTCAGAAAAACCTAGAAATACTTGTACAGACTGACACTGAGTGAGGTGAGCAGAACCAGGAGAACGTTGTACACAGTAACAGCCACAATGTGCGATGACTAACTTTGATAGATTTAGCACTTCTCAGCAACGCAAGGATCTAAGACATCTCCAAAAGTCTCATAATGGAAAATGCTATACACATCCAAAGAAAGACCTATGGAGTTTGAATGCAGATCGAAGAAATCTATTTGCTATTTTTTTTCTTCTGTTTTGTTTTGTTTCCTCTTTCTTGTGGTTCCTTCTATTGGTTCTCATTCTTCCTTACAAGATGACTAATGTGAAAATATGTTTAATAGGAAAGTATGTGTGTAGCCTAAATCAGATTGCGCGCCATCTTGGGGAGGGAGGACGAGTAAAATTTAAAACTTAAAAGCTTATGGAAGTGATCGTTGATAAATCAAAATAAATTAATAAAAAATTTTTTTAAAAAGTTAACAGTAATATGACCAGCAACTAAATCACTTCCCATCCCTACTATGCCCCTTTAACCTACCTCTGGCTTCCCACATTCCTATTAGATGCTATGAATGCACAACTCTAGCTCTGCTCCCTCTTCAGTAGTTTCATTCCTACCTAGCCATCTGCTCTCCAGACCCACTCCAACTCTGTCTACCTTCCTAATGTACTGTCCCTTCTACTGTTTTCACAGGAACACTCACTTTATCGTAAGCTATGTATCTTTATATTTTTAATAGGCACTTCCTTAACCTCCTGGTTCTCACTGAAAACTAACTTTCCTATGCTGAAACCACATTTCCCTTATAAACCTCTCCCAAGGAGGATGTTTTTTTCCTTCCACTCCATAACCCCCTAAGAGGAATCCACATAACCCATTTCTCACTGCCATGTCCAGACCACAGATGTGCCACCATCCCTCAATATTATTTTGAAATCCACGCTATTTATACCGCCTCTTCCCATCCTCACTGTTGTCATCTCAACAACCAAGTCACATTCCCACCTTCCTCAATGATCAGTATCTGTCTCAAGAGTCTACACCTCCTCCCATTGTCATTATCCTCTAAGAAGAGCAGCATTCCAAAGGCAAGGAGACATGTTATAGAATGTCACATGTGACTAACAGCAAGCAGGCCAGTTTGAATGGACAACAGCAAAGTATGAAGAAGAGTAAGAAGAAGTATGTATGAAAGTATGAATAAGAATGTAAAAGGTAGGTTGGAGTCAGATTATTAATGGCTTTAAAAAACAATCAAAGAAGTTTGTGTTTTATCCTAAAAGCAACAGGGATCTATCTTCTGGACGTAATCAGACCTGTGCTTCAGGATCTCACTTTGGTAACTGTGAAGAAGATGGAATGGAAAGAGGAAAAATTTGAGGCAGAGACCAATTAAGGAGGAGAAAAGGAGGAGATGATGATGATGATGATGACGATGATGATGATAGCTGGCATTTATATAGCAGTTATGTGCCAGTCACTGTGCTACACACTTCATAAATATTATCTCATTTGATCCTCACAACAACTCTGGGAGATAGGCGCTATTATTATCCCATTTTACAGTTGAGAAAACTGAGGCAAACAAGGTCAAGTGACTTGCCCAAGGTCACACAATAGTGTCTGAGCTGGGACGTGAACTCAAAATTTCCTGACTCATGCCTGGTGCTCTATCCACTGGGCCACCTAGTTGCCCACCACAACGAAGAGGCTAGTCCAAGTGAGAGATGATGAAGGCCTAAACCATGGTAGTCACTGAATAAAGAGAAGGGAAAAGAGGTCGTAGACTAGGAAAGGAGTAGTGAAAGGAGAAATAACCTAACTTGGTAATGACTGACTATAGGGCATTAGGGAGAATGAGGAGTAAGGAGGGGACAATCCCATACTATGCCACATTCAAGGTAAACTGAATTGCATTTTCCCTACCTCTGGCCTTAGCTCCTGCCATTCCCTATGCTTTCGATACCTTTCCCCTTACTTCCCCATCTTTACCTATTAAAAATCACACATATCCTTCAATGGTCAGCTCAAATGCTACTTCCTCCATTAAGTCTTATCTGATGTTCTCAAACAGAAATGGGCTGACTCTCTTTTTTGGGAACAAATGGTACTTTCATACAATCAAATAATTATGGTTGAGAGTCAGCAGGGGTCCTAGCGACCATTTAGTTTAACTCACCCATTTTATAGATAAAGAAACTAGTTTACTAGGTTTATGAGAATCTAAGTTTAAGTGACTAGTCTCCAGGGTCACCCAGCTAGTACATGTCTGAGGCAGGATGTGAACCCAGGCCTTTCTGACTCTATGTCCAGCATCCTATCCAGTATACCAACTGTTCTCCAAATTTTCCATAGTAGTAGAACCCTTTAGTTTAAACAAAACTTTGGCAGACCCCTTTTAGTAAAATCCTCTAAAATTAGTTTTAATGCCTACTGACAAACAACATAGAGTTCATTTAAAAACAAACCTGTGGTGTGTCAGAGTCCCTTGTAGTACAGTTTAAGAAACAATGCACTATTCCAACCTACAATTTACTCATGTCTTTTATCATAGTTGAGCGTATCTTACCTTCCCCATTAGATCAAAAGCTCCTTGAAGGCAACGTGGCATGACGGATAGGGACACTGGACTTAGGAGTCAGGGAGATGCGTATTCAAATCCTGCCTCAAATACTTACTAGCTGTGTGACCTTAACCAAGTCTTTTCCCCTCTCTGTGCCTCAGTTTCCTCATCAGTAAAATGAGGAAGTTGGACTTGACTTCTAAGGCCCCTTCTAGCTCTAAATCTACAAACCATTCATCCTGTAATTACCCTGGTATTTCCCTTAGCACCAAGTACAGTGACCTGCACATAGTCGCTCAATAAATGTTTGCTGAATGAACAAAGAATATGTGTGGGGAAAATCTACTCAGATAGAACTTTACTGCACACTATGGTGCCACAATTACAGATTTAATTAAGTTACATACCAGTTCTCGCTTTGCTTCTTCTATTTTCACTTGAGCAAGAGAAGGATTCTTTTAAAAAGGGAAAAAAAGGTACACATCAGATAAAAGGGAATTTGTTGAGATATGGGTAAGTCTTAACATGGTCTCTTTAAACAAGTAAAAATGTGGGAATTTTTTTTTAATGTTATGAATCTTCTTCAAAAGAAACTTAGTGAGTATGCTCAGAAAACATACCAAGTTAAGAGACAATAGTGTTTTAGCCAAATGGGAAACATATATACTTCCAAATTAGAAGATTCTAGTAGTGAAACTAAACTCCCAGAAATATGCCCATTATTTCTAAGATTGTTTTGGGATATGAAACATTTTTTAAGGTTATGACACGTTGTAATAAATACCGGCATTAAGTCTAAATAGGATTCCAATTTCTTCTTCAAAGGTGCAGTCTGCTGTTTTAGTTCAGCCAGTTTCTAAGGAAATATCAGAACCAAATCACCAAAGAGCAACAGAATGATAAAGATATTTAAAGCTAAAAAACAAAAACAAACAAACAAAAAAAACATAGTATAACCAAGTTTCAAAAGTAATTGGAAAGAAGAAAAACTACCAATGAAAACAGAAATTTTGGGGCAGCTGGGTGGCGCAGTGGATAGAGCACCAGCCCTGGATTCAGGAGGACCTGAGTTCAAATCCAGCCTCAGACACATAACACTTACTAGTTGTGTGATCCTAGGCAAGTCACTTAACCTCACTGCCTAGCCAAAACAAACAAACAAACAAACAAACAAAAAAAAAAGAAGATAGAAATTTTACAAGTAGTTTAAAAGAGGGAACTTATACATCCAACATTAAAAGAGAACAGGAGTCACACATGGGCTATATAATCTGAAAAAGGAATGTAATGAGGGCAACAATCAAAATTCCAATTATATGATGTCTAGGAAGTATCAACTTCAATGCCAAATAATCAAAACAGAAAAGAAAAGGACAGCTAAGGTTTACAAGAGCTGCAAGACACACACACATACAACACTGAGGGGGAAGGGGGAGAGAGGGTAGGAGGGGGAGAGAGAAGTTAGCCTTTAGAGTTGGAAATATAGAGTATGAAAAATTAAGAAAAATTTGAGAAAATTTGTTTAAATTGATGCAGACTGAAGAGAACAGAACAAAGAGAACATATACAATGTTCATAATGTAATGTAAAGGACATAATGTAAGGACAACACTGAGATACATGGGAGCTCTGATCAATGCAATGACTAATCTTGACTCCAGAGGACTGAGTAGGTGCAGAATGTGGGACACATTATCAGGCATGGTCAATGTGTTGGTTGATTTCATTTAACTATACCTTCTTTGTTATTCGGGAAGGTTGCATGGGGATTGAGAGAGATTGGGAAGCAACAGGGATGATTTAAAAAACATCAATAAAACATTTTTTTAAAATAACAATAAATAAAATGAATCCGAGTCTATTAAGAGCAAAACAAATAGCAAAGAAATGCACAATATTACTGGAACTAAAGAAGAAATAGAGAAGAGGAAAAATATTGACACGCTAATAAGCATTCAAAGATGATTTCATCAAAAAGACACATTGTAAAGAGTAAACGAAAATAACATTAACAAAAAGTTATACTAAAAGTATACAGATAAGTAGACACAAAGAGGACCAAAGAACTCAGATACAGTTTGCATTCTGCCACTCAAAAACAAGAAGACTATACTAAAAAATGAGACATGGAGAATCATGAGACTCAATTTCAAAACAGCTAGGTGGCACAGTACATAAAGCTCTAGGAATGGAGTGTGGAAGACTTTGAGTTCAAATCCAGCTTCAGACCTATTAGCTGTGTGACCCTGGGCAAGTTATTTAATGCTCTCTTTGCTTTACTTTTCTCAAATGTAAAATGGGGATAATAAAAGTACTTCCCTTGCAGAGGTGTTGTGAGGATCAAATGAGACGGTATTTGTAAAATGCTTATGTAGCACAAGGCCTAGCTCATGGTAGGTGTTAGATAAACGTCCCCCTCCCTTCCCTTCCCCTCTTCTACCTCTTGATCCTTTGATCTGCAATGATCTTAGGATATTTGGTAATGAAAATTCTAATTCTCCTCCATCCTGGGCTTGGGGGGGGGAGGACGACTTCAAGGACTTTACTGCCATATCAAACAAGATCAATAAAAATTTTTGTGTTGATTCAGAACTTGATGAATACCAAAAAAAATCAGCACTTCCATATACAAAAACTAGGAATTATTGTGAAGGATAAATGTGTTTATTTTTATAATGCAATTAGAAGCAACATTTTCCTTTCTTCAAAATTTGTATTTATACCTTTTGTTTTTCTATCCCCTTCATTTCCAAATATAACCCCACTGCCCACCCAAGTGAGATATCTCTTATAACAGAGAATAAAAAGAGCTGAAAACTTCTGAGAGTTCAACAAAACTAACCAACATTTCCATGGAGTCTGACAGTAAATACAATGTTTCCACAGTCTTGCACCTCTGTAAAGAAGGGAGAGGAGTGCATTCTTTTCATCTCTTCTTCAGAGTCAAGGAAGGTCATTATAACAGAATTAAGTTTCAGGAATAAAACTTATTAAAACAAAAATAGGAAGACAAAGTGGATATATGAACCGTAAAATATTACCAACTTCTTTCTGGTTTGGCTACAGTTAAAAATATTAAAGTCCAACTTATTTTCTAAAATAACAAAAAAATCACAACTACCTTTTAAAAAGTTTAAAAGTTCCCTTTTTTTTTTAAACATTCAGTAGTGCCCAAATACAGTACTTTTATGACTTTTCATTTTTCTTTGCTCTTTTGGGGGGTCTTCTGGGGGTATTACTGTTTGTCTGCATCCCATCAACATTTGATATTTCCCTTTTTCAATCAACTTTGCCAATCTGATGGGTATAAGCTGGAACCTCAGAATGGCTTTAATTTTCATATCTCTAATTATTAGTGACATGGGACATTTTTTTTCATGACTATAGGTAAACTGGATTTCTTCCCTTGAAAACTGTCAGGCACAATTTAGAGAGACAGTGTGAAGGCATTAATCTGCACAACTTGAGAAGAAGAAAAGGCTTTAGGATACAGACAGAGCTGAGAAGTTGTAAGTATAGAAATAAGGATACATTCTCTAGGGATAATCTCATCAGGAACATTGGGAATGGGGGACAGCCCAATCTAAATTCTTCCAGAGTCCCCAACTGTCATGATCTTTGAGAAGCACTGGCCTACATAAGTGCAGAATGAGGCATATATTTTCATACAAGGACAATGTGTGTTTGTTTTAATTGAATATACTTATTTCTTACAAGAGACAATAACATTAGTGTCAGGGGAAAAGTCATTCAGAAGTAACAATTATATATCTTTTTAAAAAGTCATTAAACATTTTTAAAAGAGAGCAAAAATAAGCAGTATTTTAAAAGAAATCAAATTTCATTCAAATCAAGTAACATGCTTTTAAGGGCCATGTTAAGTTCTTAGATTATTCAAGAAACAGAAGATTCAGTTAGGTTAAAAGCAGCTCACCTCTGAAAGTGCCATCAATGACTGATGAGACAGAGAAGCATCCATCCCTCGAGCTGAAAGTTGTTCCTATAAAACAAAAACAAAGAACTTAAAATTCATAACAATTATTTTTCAACTGAACATGTTGCTATAAATTTTCAGTAGCATAAGCTTTAGTAAATTTAAGCTGTAAGCCAGAGAGAAAAGTACTACCCTATTCATACATCCAAGTACCTTTATCTATTCATTAATAATACATACTCTTAACATATATGCTACAGTATTTACCAACATAAAGAATTAATAGCTCCTATGAGATATTTTGTGGCATAAAGGAAAATTAGTGACAATGAAAATCTTACTCTTTCAGGGAAACTATCAGGGAAAGATAATTATAAAAATGTACCTCATGGCTCAAATCTATTAATGAAAAACAATACCCAGAAGGAGTCCCCTACTAAGAATCCAGTAAGAATTTAATATTTGATAAAGGGGACACCTAGCAGATAAGTAGTAATCCTAAATTAAAATAATAAGAGTACCTGAAAAAGTAAACTTGAAGAGTCATGAGTATGAAAAATAGGGTTCTGAATAAAGAAAATCTGGAAATAACTATTAATCTAATTAATCCCGGAGGGTAACCATTAAGTTTATTACAGTGTCACACTGATTTAAAAATAATTCACTGGGGCAGCTAGGTGGCGCAATGGATACAGCACAGGCCCTGGAGTCAGGAGGACCTGACTGCAAATCCGGCCTCAGACACATAACCCTCACCAGCTGTGTGACTCTGGGCAAGTCACTTAACCCCAA